ATTGAGAACAATGGATAAGGAGGAAGGAAGGGAGGGAGGAGAGTGGGAGGGAGAGAGGACAGAGAAAGAGACAAAGACAAAAAATCCTAGAGAGACCCAGAATGACACCTGTCTGACCAACTTAAACTTCTCCCAAGAGGACAAGAGAAGTGCCAAGTACCAAACAATGGGGAGGGAGAACTGACCTAATTCGTTTTGCCAAAGACAACAGACCCTCACCCCCAGTTCCTTCTACTGCAGTTCAGCCATCCAGCTGCTTCCTAGGCCCCGCCGTGCAAATGTGCATTTTGTGTGCAAGGAACTGCAGACAAAGCCCTGCCCCCAAAGAACTCACTGTCCAGTACGATGGAAGCAAAGCTTTGAAAAAGTGAAGAAGCCCTTTTCCTGTCCCCCATACCGGTCTCAGCAATTAGCAAGCCTGGGTATTTTCTTGAAGCACTTCATCGTTAATGAGGTAGAAATAAGGCTCTTTGTGTTGAAATTCTGAAATGATGGTGTTTATCTTTTGAACCGCTGCTTAGTGGATTAACGTAACCTGTTTGTATAAAGACAAACTAACTTCAAGTGGGTGGGTGCAGCTAACCTCCACATTCAGACCTCGAAAGCAAATAACGCCAAAGGCAAAGAGAAAAGACTAGTATGTCTTTTCTTCGCTGCATTGCAAGGTTCATGGGGCCAGGGTTTGCCCATCTCTGCTTCCTTCATTGGGAAGGAGATGCATCCGGAAGACGCAGATTATACATCCACATGGTCCAATTAAAAGGTTTTCTTTTCTAGGAAAGCTGATCGTGGAACAGCACAGGGTAAGTGATGTCAAGACTATCTGAAGGTCAAAGCCAGATCTCGAGTAGTCTGATGATGATTTTCAGAGGATGCTTCAAACACAGCCATCCTGAATGAAAGCTTTCACTTAAAGGACACGGTACACAGGAGACGCAAAGTCCATTTTCAACTTAAAAGTTCGAAGAGTCTGGAAGATTTTCTGCAAAACTCCACAGAGTCACCCCATAAATGGGCTTCCATCTTCAGATGGGCATCTAAATGCAGGCGTGTTCCACCTTCCTGTGGGCAACGCCAAAGGGGGCTGAGGAAGGTAGAGGGAATGTTCCATCCATGTACGGACCGCCAGGGCATATCTAAATGTTGGGTAGGCATCTGTGTGATTTTTCCTGGTCCCCTACAAGGTGCAAAATTGTAGAGAAAATGAATTTTGGAGAGGCTGTAAGCGAAATCACAAAACCAAACACGTTTAATCAAAATGCCGGTGACAGCTCGTTGCTCATCATTACAGAGCATTCGTGGGGCTGTAATTTCTGTGTCACCTGTTGTGGTGTTTGCTTCTTTTCACATTTCTTGAGGTGGCCCCCTGGAACTTGGCAGATCATTTCCCCTGCCTTCCTGCTCTAATAGATTTCACTCTCGAGATCTCACCCGCCGCGCGCTCTGGACTGCTGTGCTTAGGGCTAGCAAAGCAGTGGGAAAAGGCTTGCAGACAGAGAATAACAATTTCTTCTTCATCTAAAGAAAAATAAGAGCTTTAAGCTGCTTATCACACCCAGGTTGGGAGGAGAGAAAAAAAAAAAAGAAATCCCAAATCCTTTCTTCTCCATAGACCACACTTTTGGTCTCAGGGCTTTTCTTAATGTTTCAGTTCTCTTTATTCTGATCCAGTCTCTTGGAATGAGGATATTCTTCAGAGAGTTGAAGAAGTTTAAGGTTAACGCCGAATCTGCATCTGTGTACTGCTGCCAAAGCTTACGTGGATTGGGGCGTTGTTTTGTGCGATGGCATTTGGTTGGGTAACGACGGACTCCTTGTCCTGAGCTAAATGCTGGAGCATCTTCCCGATTGTGGTCTTGGTGCGGTGAGAACTTGGGGGTGCTGGGGAGCGGAGAGGATCCCAGCATCTGTCGTAGACCCGTCCTTGTAAGCTTATAGGCTACAGAAAGCGGGTCTAGAATTACCGTGAAGTGAGTCTGAGTGCTTCTGCTTTTGCGTTTTTGACTACAACATTTAGGTCTCGGGTCTAGTTTCGGAGTTTGGTTTCGGATCCGTGGAGGAGAGCCACCGTGTTCTTTGGCTCATTCTCGGGTTTGGAGCACCCATTCTCTCTCGTCCTTCCTCTTTGCTTTTCTCCATTGATGATTTTAGCAGTCTTCGCCCAGCCCAGGGTCTGAGTGTTCCCAGCAAGCCAGGGAGGAAGCCACTCACATTCTAAACCAAGATGGAACCTGTTAGTGTGCCTGTTAATCTTAGATATTGTCAAAACGTTACCATGTTTGGCAGCTCAGAGAATGATCTAAACGCTCGTGCTCAGAAATTGTTCATTTAAACTGGGGTAGGAAGCCTCACAGTGAAATCTGTTGCTTCCTAAGGGTTGGGTCCTGACGAGCAACCGTGTCTTTAATGACGTCGTTGGCTTTATGGACACAATCCTACGCTGGCGCCAATCCAAGAGATAAGAACCTGAAAGCAGGCTGCGCATTTATTGTGGGGTTGTTCTGGGGAAACTTTGGGATTTTACCTCTCATGCTCCTTGCCTACTGAAGTCACCGTTGTGTTTTTATTTTACTGAGAAGCCAAGAACTCATCATTTATTAACCAAAGCATCATTGATTTAGTCATTCCACAAATACTTAGCAGTGCCAACCACGTGGGAGTGTCTACCAGCCTCTGGAGAGTCTGACTTCCTGGGGGACTCGGCCGGCCCCGCAGTGTATCCAGGCCACAGGTTGGGACCCCCGAAGCGGCTCTGAGATGGACAGTACATTGGGGGGAGCTTCCTGGGCGGGTCCTTGGGATCAACACCTGTGGAAGGAGGGACGGCAGCTGGGCTTTGACCACTCTCAATGGCGGCATCAGGCATGCCTACCGGGACCTGGCCTGGGCAACGGACCCTCCCCTGACCGGTCGGTCACCAGATCTGCAGTCTTCAGGGGAGGGGCATGACCTGGGCAAGGTGGCTCTCTGCCAGGGGCAGCACTGCCAGCAACTGGGAGAATAAGTCCTGTAAGCCCAAGAGGGGACCTGGGCGGCACATCACAGTGTCTGAAGCAGTGTGCTGGGATGCCACTCTACAGAAAATCTTGACTCGACCGGCTCGAACGATAGAGAACGCCTCACGTCCCAAAGACAGACATCAGGGATAAAGCAACTCGTTCCCATCGTTCTGCCAAGGAGCAGCTTTGCTTCTCGGGCTTCGTCCCGTCATAGACACAGGTGGCCAGAGCGGGGCTGGTGTCTCTGTGCAAAAGAGAAACTGTTTCTGCCCTCGTGCTCTGTCTATTGATGAGGAAGATATTTCCTCGTATCTTTCTTTTTTACTGTGGTAGAACGTAACACAATATACCATTTTAGCCATATATCGGTATACGGTTCTGTGACGTTAAGTATGTTCACAACGCTGCATAACCATCACCCCAGAGGGTAGTTCTGGGGTATATTCTGTCCCATCAAACTCCAAGCCCAGCTGCAGTGGCCGAGCCCGCAATGCCCCCGGGCTGGGCTTTCCCTCCTCCCCTGTTTCTTCCTTCCACGTGCCCAGGCCTGTCAACTGAACTCACTTCCCAGAGTCCACTGAGCAGACACCGCCCTGGCCTCACGCGCTGCTTCTGCAGGGACCGCCTAACGGTGCACGGAGAGCGAAAGAACGGCAAGAGGCGTGTTCCACGCCCACAATCAGATCTGGACTCAAGAGTCTTTAATCTACCGAATTTCAGGCCCTCGCACTGTGCCACCTGCCGGTTGACACACATGCACCTTAACAGAGGCCTTCCGGAAGCTTCATCAGGCGATGGGGGGCCAGGCAGGCACCAGCTATGAATAGGCAGCTGCAGACACTTTCACGTCTCAGCCCTTCTCCTGTCCCCGTGTGGAGGCAATCCTGCATTGCGACAGGGTGGTGGACACCGGGCTGAACCCTGGGGCAGGGACTGCATCTCATTTGTCTTTGTGTCCCCAGCACTTAGCTCGTGTATCAGTAACGCTTGGGGCCTGGCACACAGTAGGTGCTCAGTAAATGTCTGCTGGCTGCTGAGGTCCAGAATTCCAACTACAAATGGTTTGCTTTTTAATGATTACTTTTAATATGGCTGTGCCTGTTTCTGTACTTATTTATTTTTTTATTTTTTTGAGACAGAGTCTCACTGTGTTGCCCTGGCTAGAGTGAGTGCCGTGGCGTCATCCTAGCTCACAGCAACCTCAAACTCCTGGGCTCAAGCGATCCTCCTGCCTCAGCCTCCCCAGTAGCTGGGACTACAGGCATGCGCCACCATGCCCAGTTAATTTTTTCTATATATTTTTAGTTGTCCAATTAATTTCTTTCTAATTTAGTAGAGACGGGGTCTCACTCTTGCTCAGGCTGGTTTCGAACTCCTGAGCTCAAACAATCCGCCCGCCTCGGCCTCCCAGAGAGCTAGGATTACAGGCGTGAGCCACCGCGCCCAGCCTTGTACTTATTTATTTTTTATGCTGCTTTGGAATGTAATCTCCGATGGACAGAGAACATATAGTTTGGTGGTGGGGGGGGGGTCATCTGTCATTTTACCAAGCTAAGTCAGTAAAAAATCATGTACCTAAAATTAAGAAATACTGCATATTTCTTGAAATGATTCAAGAAAGACTATCAGGTTGATGGATGAAAGCAATCGCTGTTAAGTTGTCTCAAACTGGTGGCTGGTAGGTTACATGTAGCTCTAAGATACATGGGTTTAGCCAGCACAACGTTGGTTACCTTACATTGGAATTCTTCCGGAGTATGCTACAGGGCCCAGCACTGCCTATAGCATCCTAGCTGTCCCTTCTACCCGCCCAGCCCTTGCAGGTACACGGGTTTGTGACCCCCTCACAGAGTGACACACAACTTTCCTTATACTGAAAGTTAAAATGAAATACCTGGCACCATTGCTCCTTGGGCTGTTTCTGACCTTCCCTGCAGCTTGCTGAGCCCGCCCTGTGCGACCAGCAGGTGACTCATGGTGACGTGCTGTCCTGCCTTCCAGGTACTACAAGGTGTCTGTGGTGCTCATGTGCTTCGTGGTGCCCACGCTGGTGCCCTGGTACACCTGGGGGGAGAGCCTGTGGAACTCCTACTTCCTGGCGTCCATCCTTCGCTACGCCGTCTCCCTCAACGTCACCTGGCTGGTCAACAGCGCCGCCCACATGTACGGAAACCGGCCCTACGACAGGAACATCAGCCCCCGGCAGAACCCGCTCGTCACTCTGGGCGCCATCGGTGAGCAGCGGGTCGGGAGCCATGGGGAGGATGGCAGCCCGGAGTTTCCCGGCTTCTCAGTGGTTCTGTGGGACCGGTCAGGGGGTGGGGTGGACTGGGCTTCAGCCTGGCCTTAGCGTCCTGGCTCTCGGACGAGTCAGCTCTCTGATTTGCAGTTTTCCTATCTGGGAAATGGGCATTGCGATGCCTGCTTCTCGGGGATACATAAGCTGCTTGGTGCGGCGCCCGGCACGTACTGGGTGGTCAGTAATTGGCAGCTGTTTATTATCGCCGTGGAAATGTGCTCTCAAACTGCCCTCAGCTGTCCAAACCTTTGGCAGACTTTAAGGAGAAAAGGCCTTTAAACGGAGAGATGGGAAGAAGTGAGACTTAGCATCTCGTGGGACCTCAGAATGGCTAAGAGGGGACCTGTGAAGTCCAGTGAGTTTGGCTGAATCCTGGCTCCTCCACGCACTCTCTGGGCAAGTTATCTGGCTCCCCGGCTTTCTGTGTCCTTATCTGTAAAGTGGGGATAAGAGCAGCCCTGACTGCCGCCCGGGGTCGTTGCAGGGTTGGATGCGTGTTTGCAGCGGTGCTCAGCATGAGATAAACCTTCTGGGGCGCAGCTTTACTGCCGGCCGTGTGGCCTTCAGCGAGTTGCTCACCCCTCTGTGTGTTCACGTTCTCATTTTGGTGCAGAGGCAGGAGGATTATGGGAGCTGGTATCTGCTAAAGCACTTGGCACTGGCCCTGGCATACAATAAGTGCTTAATAAATAAATATTAGCTGCACCTTTATAGAAGCAACTCAGGCTTCTCCTTAAGCTGAGCCTTGAGCACAGAGATCAAACTCAGGAAGGAAAGTTCCGACCGTTAAGTACAAGCAGTGTCTGTGTCACTCAGCGATGAGATTCTGCTGCTGCTTCCTTAGGGTCATCCCCCTGTGAAGCCCCCAGGGATCCTACGGTTCTCGTGGACTTGCACTGACGACAGCAGTACAGGTGGGACAGACACCGAACTTGGTTGCATAAGCAGGGAGAAAAGTGCCTTGGAGAAGAGGAAGAGCAGTTTCCCAACCCCTCCTACAGCTCTCTCCTCCTCTCAGCCTTCATCTTCTAGAAGGAGAGCCACGTCCAGTGTTGATTCTGACAGTGGACACAAGTAGGGGCAAGACAGACAGCACCATCTTGTACGGGGATGGACGGACCAGGAAACTCGAGGAGCGTGGCCACGCCCTAAGCCCGAAAGAGCTGGGTATCGGTTTTGAGTCTGTCCAAGTCAACGCTGGACTCCCAGCCAGTTTGCTTCAGAAAGGTCCTTGGACGGCTCTTGCTACCCCAGTTGTGCAGCAGAGTGGGGAACACATACGTAGCGCCTGTTTCTGAAAATAGGGGGAAGAAACTTCTCTGTACTATGTTTTAATCCAGAATGGAGTGGGGGCAGGGTAGGGATGGCCTAAATTAAAAAGAAAATCGCAGAACACAAATGGATCCATCTTGATGGACTCATTGTAGAGTAAAATCCTTCAAAATACGGTCACTAGGAGAACTGCGTGGTGGCCAGGAGCCACTTAAGAAGGAAGAAAAGAGTCTGGCAGTCTCTCAGTTACAGATAGCTACTATGTGAACCAGCACCTCCAGTCCTAGATTTACACCTGAGTGAAATGGAAACATAGGTCCACACAAAAGCTAGTGTGTGAACGTTCGTAGCAACATTATTCACAATAGCTAAACAGTGGAGACAGCCTGAATGTCCATCAGTTGATAGATGGATAAAGACAACGCAGTATATCCTTATAAAGAAACACTATTCGGCAATAAAAAGGAGTGAAGTTCTGACACTTGCTACAACGTGAATGAACCCTGAAAACGTTACGCAAAGTGAAGGAGGCCAGTTACAAAGACTACATATTGTAGTGATTTCATTTATATAAACTGCCCAGAGAACTAGGCTGGGAGGCAGTTGGGGTGATAGCTAAAGAGTGTGGAGCTTTTGGAGAGTAATGAAAATGTTATAAAATTCATTGCGGTGAT